TGTTGTGGGGTGTTCAGAAAAGTAATAAAATTTGATGAACAGTCTGAAAGTCCAAATCGTACCGGTTTAGTGGAATGACTCAGTTAAATTACAATTGGTGTTATTCTCTTGCTATTGTACAGCTATTAACTATTACCGTCTGGATACCAAATACATTAAGACGCTGACAGACTTAGTGGGCAGGCTATATCACAAAATGATAAATATTGTTCCTATAGTCCCAGCTAAAGTCTACGCTCATGTCTGTATGTGAGCCACAGCTACGCTACCTGCTTTGGGGTAGGTTGCGATGAGGAGGTCTGACGGGTCAGGACGGAAAGCCCAGACTGAGTCCCAGTTGTTGGCGACGAGGCACATGAGAGGAACTCCTCTGACTCGGGTGAGGGGGAATCGGGTGATGGAGGCGCTGGCCTTCTGAATGGCATCGCTGTAGGACAACGCTCCCTCTTCTGACATGACTGATACTGTCAAAAGTTTGCTCGAGGAAACCCAAGAACCCAGTTGCCAAAATGTCGATTGTGAAGCGGCTCAAGCGAGACCAGTAGGCTACGGTGGTTCTTCCTGAAGTCCTGTCTTTTGTAGCGCCTCTCTCTGCTGACTTTTTGTCGTTTGTCAATCATTCACGGTTAGGCTAATTACTTGTTTAGCCTGCGCTATAAATTCACTGCTTGTACATCGTCACGCTGTCATTATCTCTTCCTTGTGTCCCTCTCTGCTGGCCAGGAATATTTTGGTTTTGTCCCCTCTGGATTCTTTGTGGTTTCCAGCCAAAAATCCTCTCCAACATCTGAATCCAAAAGCAAGAATCTCTCCGTATGGCTCTCCCCCAAAACAATCCCTCCTGAACTGCAAGCTGCAGCCAAAGTGCTCCAGTCACTCTAAAATGTAATTCTTTTCACCCTCTTTCTATCTTTGTAACCCCAGTGCTTGTACCAGGTTCTTGTCTGCCTGCGATCACAGGAACTTGCTCAAGCAGACCTACACAAAAATGCCGTTGTGTAACATTCCCAGTTACGTATGAATTCCTCTTTTGCTCACAATACTATCTTAACTGCTTCCTCTGTGATTTCAGGAAGGGGCCAGGGAGGGTCTTAAAAGAGCTAGACCACACAGAGGCAAACTGTAATCACACACAAAGAGAACAAAAGAGGTTGATTCAACATTTAATCTGACAGCTCAACAAAAGTATGTTAATACACTGTCGTTTCACTTGCGTTTCTTGCTCTTTTACCACAGAAAATAGTTTTGTGTCACACATGAGAGGTTTGAATGTGTGTCCGTATTTCCTATAGACTAAAACTTTTTTTGTGAGAGACAAAATGCAGACACTGTCGAGCTGAAACTCACCTTTGGACTTTCAAAGTCAACAAAATTATGACCTAATGGCAGTAAAAGTTCTGCTATTCTCGATTCTGCTTAAGAAAAAATAATGATGTGTATGGACATGTAGCTGGACGTGAATTAATTTGTGTTCAGAGCGCTGTGTGCTCAGTTCAGCCAGAAACAGCTCTGTTTAGACTTTACATTCCAGGACTTCCACATGAATATCCGGCCAAAGGTAGAAACAATATTTTCATTGAAAACAAGCTCAGCTCGACAGCAGCCAGACACTTCTAACAACAGACAGAAGTCTGTTTTTGAATACCTGTCTTTTGCAGCTTTTTTTCTATCACTATGTACTATTATGTATACTACTATGTGGTAATATTTCACCTAGTACAAAAAACACAACACACCTTTTTTCACCACTATAAGTAGGCTAGATCTGAAAAACATATTCCGAATTGAAAAATAACATGTTCATCCAAAGTACATGTATAACTTTGGATAAGATTCTCTTCTTAACTGGCTAAAAATCCTTAGTCTATCTCTCAAAAGTAAATATTTAGGTCAGTGAACTTGTCAGTGCCATCAGAATGACAAGTCCTCGTGTCTTGTTTATGAACAAACAAGTCAAAATGTTTAGCCATGTTGTCAATATAACAGTGTACTCTGTAAGTATTTTCTGATGTACACTTTGGCTAAGATTTTGATGACAATGATTTTTTTTTTGATGACTTTTTTTGTATGGCATATATCACTTTCACCAGTACAAAGTTATACATTGCAGGAGAGAGGACAGGAATCACAGCTATGCTTTTATTATTCGTACTGTAATTTGTTGACAGAGCATGTCATTGTAATACAGAAAAGAAAGAGACAAGACTGTTGCATGGGATACACCCCACTGGCTGACGGTCCGGTCTGTTGTATCACAGATTCTCTTCCACATCACAACAGATATCTTCATCAATTCAGGACACATTTACAAAAAAATTCTAATAGACATGTAAAGAATGTCTATCTATATATACATTCATATATATATATATATATATATATATAAACCCTAATCAAATATTTTTGTACTCCATTTCCTGTGATAACGGGATAATTTTCTTGTGATTTTGAGATCACCATAATGGTAATTATAGTGTGGCTTGAAGCGTTATTGGTTAGCTCACTTGGTAGAGCACAGAACTTATAGTCTTAAGGATGTGTGTTCAATCCTCACCGAAGACTAAATTTTTCTTTTTTATATTTTTCATAATCCTCAACAAATTTCTTATGAAAAGACTGTTTCACATGCTCACATTGGACTGGAAAGCACGTGCTGGACTCTGTGTTCCGGCATTTGGTCCACATCCATCAACTTATGGACTTTTCATTTCCCCATCATTCCCAGACAGAGGAAATTCCTTCTCATTCAGGGGAATCCATGTAACGTTACACATTTCCTGACAGTTTTCGGAACCTTTGAAATAGCCGTTGGGAAATGTGTGATTGGATTCCCCTCAACCTCTTCATAACAATTTTGTTGAAGAGGATACAAAATAACACACAAAAGAAGAAAAATAAAGTCAACAAGAACAGGAATCAAACTAATCAAACTGAGCCCTGTGCTCTACCAACTGAGCTAACCAGTGACACTGGTAATTTCTTCGAAATTGTCCTATTATCCTAAAGAAACGCACCTGACAGCCCCTGTATTCAGCTATGGTTTGTTATATCGTGATCACGAGAAAATTAATTATTAATTAATTAATTAATTATCCGGTTGTCAGGGGAAAATAACATATATTATATATATATACACACACACAGGTGCTGGTCATATAATTAGAATATCATCAAAAAGTTGATTTATTTCAGTAATTCCATTCAAAAAGTGAAACTTGTATAATGTATACATTCATTCCACACAGACTGATATATTTCAAGTGTTCATTCCTTTTAATTTTTATAATTATAACTGACAACTAATGAAAACCCAAAATCAGTATCTCAGAAAATTAGAATATTGTGAAAAGGTTCAATATTGAAGACACCTGGTGCCACACTCAGCTAATTAACTCAAAACACCTGCAAAGGTCTTTAAATGGTCTCTCAGTCTAGTTCTGTAGTCTACACAATCATGGGGAAGACTGCTGACTTGACAGCTGTCCAAAAGACGACCATTGACACCTTGAACAAGGAGGGCAAGACACAAAGGTCATTGCTAAAGAGGCTGGCTGTTCACAGAGCTCTGTGTCCAAGCACATTAATAGAGAGGCGAAGGGACGGAAAAGATGTGGTAGTAAAAAGTGTACAAGCAATAGGAATAACCGCACCCTGGAGAGGATTGTGAAACAAAACCCATTCAAAAATGTGGGGGAGATTCACAAAGAGTGGACTACAGCTGGAGTCAGTGCTTCAAGAACCACCAGGCACAGACGTATGCAAGACATGGGTTTCAGCTGTCGCATTCCTTGTGTCAAGCCACTCTTGAACAAGACACAGCTAAAGACAAAAAGGACTGGACTGCTGCTGAGTGGTCCACAGTTATGTTCTGAAAGTAAATTTTGCATTTCCTTTGGAAATCAAGGTCCCAGAGTCTGGAGGAAGAGAGGAGATTTCCTGATATCAGACTTGTCCCTCCATGAAGGTTCTTCATCTTCCTTGTCTTCAAACTCGGATTTCTGCTGCCTGAGGTATTCACTAAGCCCTTCAACTTTGGGGGCCATCTTCCTGATGTACTCTTTGATCTTTGTCGTTTCATCCTGGACAGTGGTCTTGACACTCACTAGCCCTCGGCCTCCCTCGCTACGCTTGGTGTACAGTCTCAGGGTGCTGGATGCCCTCCATGCATTATGAGGAGCTTTCTTGTCTTGATATCAGTTGCCTCTATCTCCTCCTTTGGCCAGTTTATTATACTAGCGGGTTATCTGATGACTGGCAGGGCACATGTGTTGATGGCTCGGATCTTGTTCTTCCCATTCAGCTGATTTACTCTCTGTATTTGGCTGACTGTGGCGGACTTCCTTGCTGCCTCCTCATGGTTTCCGTTAACCTGCAGCACCCCAAGGTATTTGTCTTGAAAATCTGTAATGTGGCCCTCTGGTAGTTCAACCCCCTCGATTCTGGTCATCTTCCCTCTTTTTGATACAATGCGACCACACTTGTCCAGTCCAAACGACATTCCAATGTCATTGCTGTAGATCCTGGTAGTGTGGATCAGTGAGTCAATGTCTTGCTCATTTCTGGCATACAGCTTGATGTCATCCATGTAGAGGAGGTGACTGATGGTTATTCCACTTCGGAACCGGTATCTGTAGCCAGTCTTTGTGATGATCTGTCTGAGGGGGTTCAGGCCTATGCAGAATAGCAGCAGGGTTAGTGCATCACCTTGGTATATGCCGCACTTGATGGTGACTTGTGCAATTGGCTTTGAGTTGGCTTCCAGACTTGTTTTCCACAGACCCATTGAGGTCTTGATGAAGGCTATTAGTGTCCTGTTGATCTTGTACATTTCCAAGCATTCCAGGATCCATGTATGTGGCACTGAGTCGTAGACTTTCTTGTAGTCAGTCCAGGCGGTGCACAGATTGGTCTGGTCTTACAGTCTCAAGCGACTGCTCTATCGACCAGTAGCTGGTGCTTGGCTCCCCTGGTATTACTGCCCATTCCCTTCTGGGCCTTGTCCATGTATTGAGCCATGATCTGGACTGTCTGTCCTTGGGTTAACCATTCTGGGGGGGTCCCATCCATCAGCAGTTGGTTCTTTGTTCTGCCAGGCATTCATGGAGTGCAGTTAGTTTCTTCAGCCAGTAGGTGTGGAGCATGTCAGGGCCTGGTGCTGTCCAGCTCTTCATACCTGCCACTCTTTCTTGGATGTCTGCCGTTGTAATGGTTACTGGATCTTGTTCTGGGAGATTGCTGTGATCTGTTCTTAGATCCACTAGCCACTGAGCATTGGTGTTGTGGGATGCCTCTTTCTCCCATATGTTCTTCCAGTATATATATATATATAGCCCCTCTCACCGGGATTGCTTATATAGTAACAATGCTTCAGATCCATATTTTCTGCTCTAGTCCATGAATGTCTTGTTCCAGTAGCCCATTTGTCATCAGGCTGCCCTGGTTCCCTCGCACCTGACGCGGACTGTGTATTGTTACTGTTTACTGGTATATATGGTATTGTGGGTGAATGGTCTGAGTGTTGCTATTTTGATGTTGTTGTTGTCTATTCTTACTTTATTTATGGTCCGTAAGAAACAACATTTCATTTAGCTATATACTTGTAGGCAAAGGATATGAATAAAGTATTTTAACTTTTATTTTTGATAACGTTTTCAACCATTTTGCATATAATGACTAATGCAACTTATGCCTAGATATTTTGGGGGGTAAGATTATTATTATGAAAGAGATTGGTATAATTCATTGTGATCAGCATGATATAAGCAATTAATAACGTAGGAAACAGCAGACAATTGTACATAATCATTTGCATCAGTGTGTCAAGTCATTTGCAATTTGTTCAAAACAATGGGAAAGTGCTTTTATGATGTGCACAAGTGGCGAGATGATGTGGAAGTTGAACAATTAGTTTTAGCTTCACAAATGAAGAATGCAACAGTTTGGTGATGTCGATGGGTCGCAGTCTTGAAGCATGGCTTTTCAACGATAGTGACAACTGAGGAACACCGAGGGGCTGACACAGCGTGGTGGCTTTATTTCTGCTGGACAGGTTACAACCCCCACCAAAGCTTGTTACAAGAGGGGGTCAAACATAACCAAAGAGTCCAGGAGTAATGCAAAAACATAAGTTTATTGAAATAAACAGGAATAAGTACAACATTTAACTCAAATAAAACAACAAATCTGATGGGCTGGCCAAAACAAACAAAAGAAAGGGAAGCCCTCCAGACCAGCCCACAAAAGGCCATAGGATTTGGAGGCTTAACTAAACAAACAGAAATAAAGCCGGGAAAACTAAACTACCAGTCCCATCAGAAATATAAGAAAAGAACAATAATCAAAGAAATACAACTTAATTGCAGTCTCAGAGGTGTGCTGCTGCCATGGCTGGAAGGTGGACCAGAGGGAGAGAGCCAAGCGCCCAGCCCCCTCTTATAAGTTTCTCCCGTCATCACCCAGACCTAAAACACCTGAGGGAAAAAAACAGACACATGAGTCACCATCATCTAGAATTGTACATCATGACCAGCAGGGGGGGGGGGAGAATGTAACACCCCCACCCTAAGTTACTGAACGGGGCATACTGAAAGAAAGAACCACCAAAACAAACCCAAGAATAGCCCTTCAGAATACACCGTTCAGAACACTTTGGCTTACAGGTGCCACAATGCATCAGCCAGAACATTATCCCTGCCACGGATGTGTCTGACTTCCACATTGAAGGCCTGCAACCGCAAACTCCAACTCATTCATCGTCTGTTCTTATTCTACATTCTCTGCAGAAAAAAACAGTGGATTATGGGCCATATAAACCACCACAGGGACAATAGATGAGCCAACATAAACATCAAAATGTTCTAAAGTCTTGACGTGTGCCAAGGCCCCCTTTCCAATTGACGAGTAGCACCTCCAACAACAATCACCAGACTCACACGCTGTGCTTTGTCAAACTTTGTCAAAACCTTTACAACGTCTGGAGTTGAGATCTTACACAAAGGGAATACTTCTGGGAATCTTGTGGACGCACACATCACACTCAACAAAAAATTACCAGTTTTTGTATGAGGCAGGGGACCCAGATGGTCAACCAGAGCTTGTTCAAATGGCTCACATACCACTGAAATCGGATATAAAGACGCAGGAGCAATCTGGGTTACAGCACTACAGTCATCTGCAGCAGAGGCATCCCTTTACACATCAGCAAACCATCTCTCACAAAACTGTTGACAGAAGTTCAACTTTCTCTCCAGCTATTGCATCTTCAAATAAAGGAGACAAATTAACATCATCTTTCTGCACAACACTCAACTGTTCACGAGATAAGGATAAACGCTCAGCCTCAGGAAAGGTCTCTGCCCTTGAGGCGTTACTTTCAGCCCCCACTGGAGAAAATGAGTGACCATTATCTAGATCAAAAAGAAAACTGTCACTCAAATCAATTCCCTCCTCATCCTGTTTACACATAGATCGAGTAACGAGTAACAGCACATGCAGTAAAAACCTTGGGAAACTTCTGAGCAAGCTCATCAGGAACCTGCCTAACAGGAATTGGTGTCACTTCAGGTTTAACCAACACCTTTCCACTAGCCAAATCATTCCCCATCAAAAAGGCAATCCCTTTTATCTGTATCTGTATCATCTGGCTTTTATCAAACATAGCCACCTACTTAGCATACAGCTAACAGTAGCTACCTACTTAGCATACAGCTAACAGTAGCTACCTACTTAGCATACAGCTAACAGTAGCTACCTACTAAGCATACAGCTAACTACGAGTGCAGGCTGGTGTAGGAGCCAGAGTAGAGACGATGAATTATATCTAGCTGTAGGTGAGCTGGAAAACAGCAGTGCGAGCTGTGTTTTCCGACACTAGCAATAGGTAAGACAAAGTAAGTGTCGATTGCGCCTGTTTAGTTATTTACCATATAGGTTTATTGTTATATTATGTTTACACCTAACTTTACGTTATCTTTACCTTGTATCTAATCTGTTTGTGTGATTATCTTGTGTCTGCAGTTGATGTTTGACTGTATGTTACTTTTACAAATGTGGTGATGTAGCTGTGTGTTTTTAGTTATGAGACAGACATTTCAGCATTGGTATACATAAACAATGATGGCTAAAGTTCTCCAAGTATCTGTGTTTCTGGTATAAAAGCTACCTATAATATAGTCTGGCATTGTTCATAGCTAAACCTACTGTGTGAAAACCTTTTACTGTAATTTGTGCTGTTATTGTTGCGGCGGCAGCCCGGCTGACGGTGAGTGCCCTGTGCTCTTTTTTCTCTTTTTACTTCCTCACGTATTTCTGTTTTCTCCCCCGTGTCTCCTCGCCTCTCCCTCTGTGTGTGTGCTCTCTCCCTCTCCGCCCTGGAGCCCGGCTGATGACCCGCACCTGTGTCTCATCAATCTTCACCTCCGCCCGCCGCACCTGCCTGCCATCAGCTTCATCTTCAACAGTATTTCTACCCCGGTTCTCCACTCCATCTTCACTTGATCATCGTCGTTCCAGTCCTGGTGCCACTGCTTCGTTCAAAGCGCTCCTGTTTCTTGTTCCTAACCTGTTGTCTCCCGAGACTAACCCTGTCCTTTCTTTCTCCCCGCCAGGTCCACTCACCTCCGCCATCCAGTCAGTCAGCCGGGCTCGCCTATCTGCCTACTCCCCTCCCTCGCCTCGGCCTCCAGCCCCCTCTCAGTTGCCTCGCTCGAGCCTTGCCAGCCCCGCCTGCTCCTCGGTCCTCCGCGCCCTCGTCTGCTGGCGTCCTGCTCACCTCATCCCACCTCCCAACTCCCCTCTTCCCTTTTTCCCCCCCTCAATAAATCTCTTTTGGTAATCTGACAAGCGCTGCGTTTGGGTCCGTTCTGTCCACATCTGTAACAGTTATGCCATTACTTATTTTACCAGAAGTAAAAAAAAAAAAAATTCCCTGAATGTTTTATTTCTACTGTGCCCTCAGGTCACCTGCAGATTTGGAGTCTTTCATAGCCCTGTGCTTCTCACCAGTATACGCTGATTGGACCATGCTGGTTGGCCTGGATTACAACCACCATGTCCACAGTCCAGCCAGGACTGTGAAAAGCTGATGACAGAGTTCAGTATGTTGCATTATGAGTACTCCTATGCATTTTACTCAATACATTTATAAGTGATGAGTCAAAATATTAAACAGTATGAGGAATACAGATAGATGGTGCTGATTTATTGTTTTGATTGCATTTTATGTGGAAATGCTAACTGCTCTATAAGAGAATGATGTCAGGTATTACAAACTTTTCAATAAGCTGATCCTCCTTTCTGTATTATCAGGTACAGCCAAGCGGGAAGCTTCCGGTCTACAATATGAAGCGAATGCATAGCGACCTGTCAATCAGGCTAGAACCGACTCGGCACAGTGTAAATTTAACCAGCGCCATTGAAAAAGCTTATTAGGAGTTGGCTGTTCACTTTCTCTGGTGAGTACATTTAGTTTTAAGACTTGTTCACTAGACAAAGTTATCAGCCCAGTTAAAATGACAGTTAATGTGAGCACATGGCCGTTAGCTCCGCCGTATCGTCACTTCCGGGCACTTCATATGCCGTTGTTGGAGTGTGAAGCTCGACGCAGGTATGTGCTGCTCGGCTTGCACCTTGTCCTCCCCGTCCTGCCTCTTCTTCCTCGGACCCTGGCAGCCCTCCCTCCTCTGCTTCGCCCGGTCCTGTCCCAGTCTGTGCTTGGCTCTGGAGTGCAGTTCTCATCTGAGACAATAAATCTGTCACAGTGGAAACTCTAACATGCAAAACAACGTACAAGTTATGAGTCTAACATAAAATTTACGTTCGTGTAGTGTAACTGATGGAAACGGGAAAATGTTTATCAGCCTGTTTTTAGCTTTGCCCAATGTTACCGCAGCTGTTAGCACAGCTACCTGATGCTAACAGCTAGCCAACTCGTTACTGAATCAAAGTCAGTCTTTTTAAACCTATCCAATATTAACATGCTAGCTTGATAGTGAGTACTAACAACCGGGTTAGTTGTTTATTTTCATAACGCTAAAGTTAAATGCTTTCTTACCCCTGATGTGAGCCGCTGCATCGCGCTGCCCTCCGCTCGTCCTCCAGCAGAGTCTGCAACGGGTGTTCACATGTTTTGGGGGCGTGGCTTTGAAAGGAGCCCAGAAGGGAGGGGGTGGGAGTTTCTCTGTTGGATACTTTCAAAAATCCAGCAGTTTCTTGCTAGTTTCTCAAACTTACCTACCCTGCCTTTAACACATCTAGATGTGAATAGCAGGAAATAAAAGCTGAAATTTTAAACTCTTGTCTCATACTCATCTTTTGATCTTAAACCCAAATGTCTTCAGTGAACAACAAAAACAAAGGAATTTGCCTTACCGTTCCAGTACATTTGGAGGGGAATGTAGATGGATAGATAGCTTGCATTGGTTTACATAACTAAATTAAACACAGTTACAATTACAACACATACACAACTTCCAAAACACACACATTAGGTATGCGACAAGCAAGCATGAGATAGGAGATAAAAAAATAATACAATAAACAAATGTACACTATATTCTTTTTATTACTATTCCTAAAAAAGAGATCACACATGTTTTAATCACCTTAAATGCAGACCCCTCGATGCCCTCCAATCCAAAGTCTCCAAACCCAAGAACCCCATTTTTATGAATGTTGCAGTTTTTTTATATAGTTCTCACTTGTTTATCAACTTGTTCTAGTATTTTTGCGTAACAGATTAAGTATTTTTTGTAACATTATATATTTTTTTGTGTAACCATCTGTTTCCAATGCCAATACAGCCCAATTGAATTAAATTAATCATGCTTTTTGCCTCCATCTGTTTTGATCTTACAAAGCAGACACAAACACAGTGTGTTAGAGGTTACAGTACAGATGGCAGGTTTACAGCATCCAGTTTACACTTTAACAACATTTACAGCAGCAGTCCAACATTTACATGGTGTCATGTATTAAACTTGCTTGCTTACAATAAGCAGGGGGCATGCAATTGGTTGAAAGGGTGACAACATCACTGTTATAAAAATCTTGTTATAAAACAAAATGTGACATTATGAAAGTAAACTTGGAATGAAATAAAAGCGTAATTAAGAAAAATGTCATAATGAAGTAAAAACAGGCTTCTGAAAAAAGGGCACTTAAATGTAATGTAAATGAAAATTAAGGATCATATAACATTTCAGAAGGAGTTGAGTTTAAACAATGTCTTCAGTTATTTCACAAATTGTTGTTTCATTCATATATTTTATATGATAGATTTTTTATGTCTTATTTTAATTATTTAATATTGAGCACTTTGGAGTTCCTTACAGAAAAACTGATCCTAGTAAAGAAGCTTTATGCAAAGTCATAATAAGCAAGTAAAAGAAGACCTGGCACTGGACTGCTGTGGCTAAAGGACATGCTTTTATTACCTTATGTTAATCTTCTACAGCATCATAAGGAGCTTTTCTTTCCAAGAAATACAGAAAAATACATCAAAGGGAGAGGTTACGTTGTAATATTTTCATGTACATTTATTCTGTTTGTCCTTGTATTTAAGTATCCAAACAAATAGTTCCTTGTGTAGCTGAAGGATAAAATGTTTAATATTTGTTTAAATAATTTTATCCAGATGGAAGTCAGTAAAGCAGATGCTTCCTGATGTGGTTCCACACATTCAAATGTGAAAGCTCAGTCTTTTTTCTTGGCCTGTATGCAGCTCCACCAGTAGTAGGTAGGTATTTCTGGAAACAACAGCACTCAAAATGAGATCCATTAATAAAACATCAGTATGGAACCATTAAAGGTTTAGAAGGTAAGAAGGTAAGACTGAATGAGCTTGAGGTTAGGGCCACAGTCACAGCTGTAAAAGAAGGGAACAGCGAGCGCTATAAATCTCAGGTAATCTGAATGCAATCTGGTCAGATCTAAAGTGACTCACATTTTAGTTTTCAATGTGGCCGGCCAATATCATATAAAAGGAAAAGTGATAGTGCAGAATTATCTAAAAACGTATGTGTCAAGGTATTATTCAGACAAGGCCCACACTAATCCTCTTACAATAATTTTTAAATGGTAGTGGTGAATGTAGGTTTCATGACTGTTAAACCAGTAAATAAATATAATTAATATAAAAATACAGATCATTTCATAATATTGAAGGTTATTTTCTAGCAGTCATGCAACCACCAGGGGGCACAGCTGGAAAGATTACTATTTTTACAACTAGAAAGCTGTATTATAAACATATTGATTTGCTGTATTTTTGTATACAGTCTGGTAATAATCAGGTAAAAGCTGACAGCTCCATGATCTGTTTCATAATTGGCTTTCAATTTTCCACCTGTTTGTTCCAAACATTTCTTAAAAAGAGATTGAATTGGACTGGAAATTATTAGTAGTAGTAAGGCTGAAGGTAAAATGACACTCAGGAATTTGATTTAATCTACTCCCTCTCTCCTCACATGAACGTGTTGACATTCATGCACTCAAAGTAGCTCAGGTTGTCTTTGGCATTGCGTGCCACGAAGCCTTTACACATGATCAGAGGGGAAGAGATGAAAGCAGGATTTACACAAACAATAAAGAGAACATGAGACATTTGTTGTTGGTATTGTGTGGTGAAACTTGATACTCTCTGGGTGACTATTTTCTTAAGATTAAGACCTAAGACATACATTTGGGGAAACTGATATGTACACACTGAAAGGTTTGAAACAAACATTTGTTCACCAGGTTTTCCATCCCCATTTTGCAAATATGCACAGAACATTGTCTAATTTCTTGCCTGCTTCCTCTGTGACACAGATACCCAATACCTCTGTAGAGGACAGAAACAGAGATTCAGAGAAGCA